CGGGTAGTACTCTAGTCTTCAAAACAAGGCGTAGTACAGCGGGTAGTACTCTAGTCTTCAAAACAAGGCGTAGTACACCGGGAAGTACTTTAGTCTTCAAAACAAGGCGTAGTACAGCGGGTAGTACTCTAGTCTTCAAAACAAGGCGTAGTACACCGGGTAGTACTCCTGAGAATTGAACTTGACGAAAATATACGGGTTGGCGGTATCGTTAACCGTGGTGTCGAAGGGGCGCTTGTATCTGCAAAAATAAAGCAACTGTTCCAAATGCAACATCATAAATAATAATTTGTAGATAGTATTGATTCCAGCCGCAAGGCTACACTACAATGTTTATATTTAAATAAAAAAGAATTTAGTGGTATACGTTTATACTCGGCATATTCGTTCTGAAGTGATACATGTTGTTATGGGTACACATCACTTGAGTATCTAGCACATCATCACCACACGCATGATTTGCGTTGTTACTTGAATAAGAACAGAAAATACTAATGATGTTAACATGATTCTGTTGTTGGTGGCTATATAGTAGCTTCTATATACTATACTATATACTATAATTATATACGTAGTATACACTATATGAACTATATTGAGATTTAGGGTATTTAGAGTTAAGATATAGGATATTTAGGATTGATATATAGGATATTTAGGATTGAGGTATACTGGTATAGGATATTTAGGATTGAGCTGTACTATGCAGTACTCGTCTTTCGGAGGCTTGATGGTATTTGAGTCGCCGGTGGTGGTGAGTCCTACGAGATCATTGCAGATGAAAACTGTATCGCCATAGCGTCGAGATTCACTTGCTCTGCAGAGATAAAAAGAAATTACAATTTATTAATGAAGTGTCAGTTTACGTGGAATATAAAATAAATGATGAATGATTAATAATCAGAAAAATTAATCTGCTATAATGTCCAAATAGTGTCACTTTCTGCTGATAGTCCTGATACGAACTTTTGCTGTGCCAAAATTAATCAGGCTGACCCACACAAGGGCTCAAGTATTTCACTATATGGACAAAGTCCCGTATATTTCTTTGAGTTGAAAATTGAAATCTTTGGTCGCTGGCAGTTTCTTACAAGCTAAGGTCATGACTAGAACTGACATGCCATAAACGATCCATATTCATGAAGGAAATTTCGATAAGTCAATTCCCAAGTAATGAAGTTCGGTTTTCCTGCAAAGACTCTTTCAATAAATTACGTTAATAGATAACGCAATTAATAAATCACGCAATTATTAAATCACGCAATATACACGACAGCTAGGTACATGTATTTTTCATTAGGCAATTTGAGAGTAAGAGGATTCGGCAATAATATTCATTTTAAGGTTTCCAAAATATATTTTGGAAACCTTAAATGAATTATTGAGTTATTGAGTTATTNCGCACTGTCTCTTATACACATCTAGATGTGTATAAGAGACAGGTCCTGTGCTGTGCCTGCTCCGCTTCTTGTTACTGGCGATTGGCGCGTCTGCGTCTCCGTTTCTTCCTTACTCTTTTCTTTCTTGTTGTTATTTTTTACTCTTTTGCTGCTAGACATTTGTGCTATCGCTCATCTACTGATTTTTTTATACTTCTAATGCTTAGAATTCCTCTTTGTATTAATTTGCTTTGGTGATAGTATGGTAAGCGCATATGCATTGTCTGTCTCTTATACACATCTAGATGTGTATAAGAGACAGTTAGTACACGTAGCGGCCTAAATACATGAAGCGGCCTAAGTTCACGTAGCGGTATAAGTACATGTAGCGGCCTAACTGCACGTAGCGGTCTAAGTACACGTAGCGGCGCAGATACTCGTAGCGGCATAGGTACTCTTAGCGGTCTAAGTACACGTTGCGGCCTAAGTACACGTAGCGACCTAGGTACATGTAGTGGCCGATAAGTACACGCTGCGTCTTAACATCACGTCGTGGACGGTCTCTCACTGATTAGTGAGCTCAGCTTGAAAAGCGGAACTGATTTAATGGTTAATACCGCGTGAAAATTCAAATGCGCGCTTACATAACAGGAATCAACTTACTGGGATGCGAAATAAGCTCCTCTTCCGTACAGTTGTCCAGTCTTGGATCCATGCAGTCGCCAGTCGATGTTACCGTCGGCAATGGATGTGACGTTGCTTGAGCTCGTGCCATGGAAGAGCCATTTCACCTCGTACTGAACAGTTGGATTCTGATGTTGAAGTTGAGCTCTCTTGTTTTCAAACGCAGTTTCTAGGTAATGGTTGTTGATTTTAAAGAGGCTGTGGAGGTTGAAGTTTGGTGATGTGGGTTTCAGCAGTTGTAGAGCTCTTGTGTACTCACCATCTTCTGGTGTAATTTCTGTAATTTCTGGAGACATATGCCGATGGAAATTCACAACACAACGGAAAGGATCTTTCACTCGTCGGACGTCCCTGGTGACTTGGGTTTTCAAGTTGGTCTGTTTCATCGTGGTGAAATCAAGAGTGTAATTATGTTCTAGACTGCTGATTTGAATTTTCGAATTAGGATTTTTAGCAAACTCTCGCTCTATGGTTACTGAGGAGGCAGTCACACGACAATCTAGGTCATTACCAGAGCTGACATTTCCGTAATCGATCCAGTAGCCGTTTTCATCTCTGAATTGCCACTTGTACTCCGACATTTTGGAATAGGCGTAGTCGTCAATGGAAGCCGAAACTGGGAGTGTAAACTCTTCGGAGTGTGGAAGAAGAGGTCGTCTCAATTCGGGAGCTTATTGTTGTGCTGGTCTTAGGTATATAGTTTATTAACATAATAGCTGACTGATAAATCGGCTGTGAAAGAGAACGAAACTCTGATATAATAAGTTTAATACCACATTAAGTACCTGGCACATTATGAATGCGCAAGCGAACTAGAGCCAATGACTATATTTTTAAACACGCATGTTACCTCGCATAAACTTAGTCTAAAAATTCTTAAAATATAAAATAAATGTTTTCATTGAGAGTAAGGATGTGGGCGGAGCCTAGTGAGCGAGTGGAACAAGTTCTTAACATGTTGTAGACTCGTTCAATACATGTGCAAACTTGAATGAGCGCTTTTGTCCCCTGCACAACTGAAATAGTGATCAAAAGAGTGCATGATAAGTGTCATTTCTATTACAGGTGAAATGCCGTGGTGAGCCATGTGGCTGTAAAAATTTCAGGAGGTTTCCGATTGAATAACGAATAGATAAGTTCGACTAAATTATGACAAATTTAGAATTTAGACAAAATTAGAAGAAATGATAGTTCGTTAAATTGTTGGGTCGAATTAGTCATATTCGTCGTCCCATGAGAGAATTAGAAGATGATTTTTGGATGAAAATTTGCTTTAGCATTTCCACCGTCAAGATTCCACACGCGTTATATAAGTTTTTATTACTTACAGTCTTGAATATTAACATAGATTTATTATGATATACTCTTTGATTTACAGTGCATAATTTCTAACTTATTATTACTTTTCTTTGAATAATCTATTTCTATGAGACATGCGCTACAGTTTTTTCAAGCCAATTTACCTATAAATTTAAACGCAAAGAAAATTCATAAAACATATAAACATATATAAAACATATATTAAACATATATAAAAATATTCATATCTTCATATAAACATTATATATCTTTACAAAAATACATCCTGTATCTTTACAGAAAACAAAAGCATCATATCTTACCAGACAAATTTTACATCGAAATCTCATCGTTCCCTTCAACCCATTTTACTGCATTTTTGAACTGACGATGTAGTTGGTTATATGATATGATATATACATATATCATAAAAAAACATATGATAAATATTCGGGGAATTTTCTTGGCTTTTAAATTTCTAGTTAATTTGTGATTCAAGTCAACAATAATATTGGTGTTTTAAATGTTGAATCAATTAGAATCTAATTGATTGGTGGGTCATCTAATTATTAGATGACCCACCTCACTCGTCAATTGTTCAACGTTGAATGAACTAATTTTGTTGCCACGGCTGTCGCGAAGTCGGTATTAACACACGAAGATTTTAATTTAATAGTCTTTACATGCAAGCGTTGATGACGTAAGCTGCAAGTGAAATTTGATATTAGTTAATAAATCATCTATGTAACTTACAACTGGACGCCATTTTTCATACCTGATTGTGACCAAGCACACGCCGTCTTTGCCTCTAATAAACTATTCAGTGACACGAGATTATAGTGTGCATTTCTCGAAGGATTAATATTACTATTGACATTTGACAATAGTACTGTGTAACTTTCAACACTAACACTAGGTGATTTTTGAAAACCAAAAGGAGAGTCGTTAATTAAACTTGATGAAGAACTAGGTTTATAATTTTAACAATTTTAGCTTCGGAACAAATTCGCGCAGATATGCCTATTTTGCTCGCTCTTGCCAGCGCTGTGGTTAAGCTTGGAAAACGATTACGATGCCTAGAATCGTGAGACTGGAGATGAAGCTTTTAGGAAGCCAATATCTTAAGATTACACAACACATTCAAATACAAGACATGCGCCATGAATTTGTTCACTATTTGATTTTTCTCAGCCGTCAGCAAGGCCTGTGCATGTTAAGCGAGAGAACAGGATAGTCTCCCGCGAACCTTTACCATTATGTTGAGTTACACATTTCTCTTTAAATACCCCTTCACTTGTATTCTCGGCAAGAAATGTTGACAGTTTTGGTAGTTCAGGCTTCCGCTTGGAAATCATTGATGAAACTGGTGACACTTTAGGTCTGGGATCCTGACAAAACAATTGTCAAACTCTATACAACGAGAGGACAACAATGGCTTGGCGTAGATTGTGCATACAATGTACATAATGACTTCAATTGCATAAACTTAGTATCAATAATTCTAGAGTCATAAACAAATAACTGACAGGAGGGAAGCACAAAGATAAAGTGTGCAGTATGAGTTCCAGTCGGATCCGATTCCATTAAACCTGACCCGTTGTCTTCTGCCTACTATATAGGAAATCTCTGATCCATTGGAGTATATTTCCCTCATTTCCCAAAGACTTCACTTAGCGCAAAAGTCGCTCATGTGGAACACTGTCAAATGCCTTGGCAAAATCGAAGTACATTAATGTATCCACTGGCTCCCTTTCATCCAGCACGCGATTCCAATCATTCAAGGTAGACAGGAGATTAGTGCGACATGATCTGCCAGCAATAAAGCCATGCTGATAGAATAAAGCCCTGCTGACAGAAAAAGCCATGCTGACAGTCGGACAGAACATGGTCAACAGTCAAGTGATCAATAATTCTATGCCTCACAACCGATTCCATCACCTTACACACAATACTTGTGAGACTGCTATCACGGTAATTACCGGGGCTACCTCTGTCACCTTTTTTTGAACAGAGGTGTCACTTGAGCTTCTTTCCAGTCGGCCGGCAAAGTGGTGTAATTAGATGGTGCGAATCCCCAGAAATTTTGAACGATGATGTTATTCGACTCCTCAGGAGCCAGGGCTAAATCTATTAACTCCGATGTCATAGACTATGTCTCCTCCAATAAGTATGCTTATCACAGATCTAATAATTTCTGAATATTTTGTTTGGTCGGTGCAGTTTGAGGAGTATGGTCTCTCTTAATTAAATTGTTACGATTCATGCACCATTCAACTGAATGATTTGTGTTCGAAATAAACAGCTGACAAACCAAGCAAGGGTTCCTTCGAGATTGGACACAGTTATTCTGTAATATATGCTTATAATGTCAATGCAACAGTTCTTCCAGGTTTTGCATTGGTTTGTTACTTCGACTTTGGATAGTCGCCATATATAAACACGGTTATCCAGCATTCATAATTACTTGCTTCAACAATCAACAACGAGTTGACTGTTGAATCATCGACCCTTGCAACCGATAATGAATTATTCCATGTTTGAGTTACTCATTTCGGAACCATGTTCGTATTGTACTATATTTTGCATTGGGCAGATATATCGTGATCTAAGCACGGAAGGATACTATGATATTATAGTACCTGAGTTAACCGAACAATTCGTTACAGCGGACCATCTCTTCCCGACGCTTCAACATAATTGCCGCATTGGCGGTGGCCGTGTCACAGCGGTAGTCGGACGTTACTTTTTTGATGAAACGTGTTACAAACTTATTTCTAACAATGATTTTTAGCTCAATATAACAAATGCACACAATTATAGTAAACCCACCTGTAATATCCCGAGTAAACAATTTGTAGCTAGATTCCTAGCCATCCGCTGTAGCTAATTTTATTTAGCATGATGAATTGGAAATACGCTAAATCTAGATGGCGTTTAGATCTAGAGCCGAAGTGCCAAGTCCATAGAAGCCCAAAGCAAAGTTCCCGTAGACCTATTACCATCTCAGACGAATTTGTATTAGAAATTATAAACATTGTGGTTGAATTATAGGAACAACAAATATCTTGATAGCACGTTTGCACAAGTGCCGAAGTAAGCGTATGCCCCCCGAGTGAGAATATTAGCAATATTTTTATGAATAAGATGAGGACATACTATTCGTTTACACAAGAATATTCAGTGCATTGCAAACTAAAAGCCTTACTTGCTAAAAAGGATCCCTTATTTATAATTAGGATAACGTGTCAACTCTTTTAACTATCCAAATCCTTTTTTTTTATAATTTCTCATCAACTGGAGTGTCAACATATGCAATATGCACGAAAAACAGATTCAAATTGCCGAAAAAGTTTATCAATGAAAAGTCGTCACCAAGTGGAACTTTGCGGCTCTGGAACGAGCACACCACCTCTAAAGATCAGCGCACTCTAACTTGTTTCTTTACGTTCATTGCCCTAATCATGACATTCGTTGCCAAGTAAATTATTCAAGTTGGTATTTTCAGGCTAGGCAAATTTCAGCTCAAGCCTTATGTATATTTTACATTAACTTTGCGTGCATTGAACGAAATTTTTTTTTTTTTTGAAGCTTGTCCTAAGTTCTAATTCTATTCATGTATTCGCTAGGAAATTGTCGTATTCAAATAAGTGTTGTACTCAAAAAGAACATGATTCATTTAACATCGCAGAACATTCACAGCTTGCTGCGGTCTCTAACACGCAAGTCACTGCTACAATTTTGCTATGCTTTACCGCCCGCCTTCCTCACCGGTTCTGACCAGAAACTAGCGCTTAGAGCTGCGATTCTAACCCGCACATCTTTGCTATGATCCTGATACTCTGTGTTGGCAACATTTGCTCATGATTAGTAGCTCAATTTCGCGAAGTCTCTCCAAATATCGGTTCGTTATAGCATCGTTGACGCTCCGAGTATGAACGCCTTCAAGAACAGACTAGACGAAGCTATGCAGGAGCATATGTTCAGTCTTAAAATGTCTAGCAAATTACGGACCAGGCAATAAGTCCAGACGAAGCTATGCAGGAGCATATGTTCAGTCTTAAAATGCCTAGCAAATTACGGACCAGGCAATAAGTCCAGCAGCTATCTCAATCAATCGTCAGCTATGGAAAGATCGGGTTCCAAAGGCCGGATCCCTTGTGAATCAAGTCACGACAAGTTCAAGAATCGGCAACAGGCCAGGGGCCTATTTCTTCAGTGCCGACACTTCTATTCTATTCATTAATCAATCGTCCGTTGACTATAGAGGCAACTTCTATGGTAG